GAATCAGTACACTAGAACTCTCTGGCAGTGAATACCAAGTACTCCACCAACCTACAGATCCTAGGCTTCTGTACAATGGAGCCATGACAGGTAAAGTGCTGTCATACTGCCATGGCGATACTGTCTAGATACACTGTATGATTGATAGACAGGTATGTTATTCCAATTACTGTCAATTAAAGTTTGCCACTTTAATAAATGGGTTCAAAGAATCCCATTTTGGGAGAAAGGCAAGATATAAATCCCTTAAATAAATAAGTATGGAGACTTAATACAATCTCATTTATTCCTTTGTAAGACCTGTATTCTACCTTCCCCCCCCAAGGTTAGTCCATTCAAAGCAGCTAATAATAAAAATGGATCAAACAATTTTTTAAAAAAAAGATTTAGTTAAAACTTAAGACACATTAAAGAACAATTAGGTTTTGCTATATTAGACAGACCTTATCAATTAAATGCCTGGGATGGATTAAATAAATTTAGGAGGTCTTGTCAACCCCCAAAATTGTGATGGTGATTTAGGCTGCATCCACACTGCAGAAATAATCCAGTTTGACACCACTTTCACTGCCATGGTTCAGTGCTATGGAATTCTGGAATTCTAGTTTTGTGACACATCTGTCAGAGAGCTCTGATGCCACAAAAAACTATAAATCTCAGGATTCCATAGGATGGAACCATGGCAGTGAAAGTGGTGTTAAACTGGATTATTTCTACAGTGTGGATGCAGCCATAGAGTGAAAACTATTACCAAAAACATTTAGATTTCTTCATGCCCTTTGTGAGCGAGCACATTTTTCCTCCCGCTTGGTGTTGTCACTACACACACGCACCTGCAATATTAAAAGTTTTTGCAAAGGTCTGCTTCACTGTGTAATTTTGGAACGGGAAACAAAATTACCTTTGGAGATGGGACCAAATTGAGAGTTTATCCAAGTAAGTTTTGATAGAATATAAAACCAAATTCTTTTCAATAAATGATAATCCAATATGGTCCCTGGGCAATGTCATAGCAATGAATAATAATAAAATTCTTCTGTTGGAATTTAACAATGGATTTTTTTTCTACAAAAAAGATCCAATGGAGGACTAGCTCATACACTGCTCTCTGATTTCTTTTCAAAATGGTCTAATGGTAACCTTTTTCATAATAGAGATGTAGGAAAAATTTGTTTGAATATGCATTTTAATGCAAAATGATCTCCTTTCCTACATTTGAACCAACATGGAAATCCACATTGTGTTATCTTTGAATTCCCTCTTCACAGATTTTACAGCAGAATTAATTCTCCTAATGTTAATGTGTTAAGTTTATATGTTTATATGTTAAGTACATGCAAAATGTGTCTCCATCTGAAAATAATGTTCACAATGAGTTGTATTAGGAAAGATGTTAGGAAAAATGTGTATGTTAAAAGGGAAAGTGTACCAAGTGCATGCAGTAGTAGAAATGTGTGTACGAGTTTTCAGGAATGTTTATCAAAAAAGGATCTCAAAGTTAGAGACAAATAAACAAGGCTGGCAAAAGGAAAAACTAAAGAATTCACCCATTCCAAGTTGAATCAATGGGTGCATCTACAGTGTAGGAATAATGCAGTTTGACACTGTTTTAAATGCCATGGTTCCATCCTATGGAATCCTGGGATTTTTAGTTT